TAAAAAAAAAAAAAAAAAAAAAAAAACTCGAACCCACGAACCGAGCCAAAATTTTCATTTTTTAAAAAATTCAACACAACCCAAATCGACAAAAGAAGTCTAACCCAACTCAACCCCGACAGTTTGAACTAAACAGTTCAAATTGTTCCGATATTCATAATAACTATCAATTGTTCTAAACATCTCCTTTACTCGAGTGTCAGATTTCTTTTTACGAAGACAAGATAATTATAATATTTTTATAAGATATAGTTGTTGATTATTATTTTTATTTTTCAATTTCAAAATCATTTTATGTGGACAAAAATTAATTATTTTTCTAGAATGGTTTGGGGTGTGAGCACTAAAACAATTAGTCTTTAGAAAATAAGAAATTAAAAAAAATAATAAATTTCAAATATTTGTAAAAAATAAACGCTCGAGTTCGGTAATAATTATTATTATTATCATTATCGTTATCGAGAAATTTTGATAGATTTCGAATTTTTCATCAAAATTTTAATTATATAGTTTGTCAAATAAATTAATTTAGGTTCTAACATATTTCATATATATAATAATAATAATAATAATAATAATTTTCAAATATAACTTAATATATTCCAATAAAGAAAATATTTAGTCATAGTTTGGTATGGAAGCATAAATAAATAATATTTTCAAACCACCAAACCCTAAAATTAATTAAAATTTATATTATTTTATAATTAATAAATTTTAGAAATATTAATATTCTTCACAATTTTAGTTTAATTTTTATTTTTTTTATTATTATAATAAAAAGTATTTTATATTATAATTTTTGGGAATTGATTCCATTAATTATTATTTTTATTTATTTAAAGATTAAATAGTGGAATTTTTAATGGAAATTATGTATATTTATTTCATTTTTCCAAAGAGGATGGAGGTTGATTTCTGATAAGGGAAGATGACAGCTTGGTTTTGAATTAATTTGGTTCAAACGTTGAAAATTCAAACAAGAATATCACTATAATAATGTTTCCAAAATAATTATTTTTAGGGTATTAAGCGTTCTTCAGCTGTGACGCTCGAGGAAAGAACGAGTATTTAAATGAATCGATACCACATTCGAGAAATAAAAAGTTGATAATTATGATATATACAAACAAAATACTTCTGTAGTTTGAGTTAGTTTGAACTTCATAATTAACCGAGCACGTGAGCGAAGACGAAGCATGTTGAAAGAACGGGTTGCTTTCACTCTTAGAAATACTTCATGTAATAGCCCATGTCCACTGTTAGCAGATATTATCCGTGTTGGCCCGTTATGTATCGTCGTTAGTCTCATGGTTTTAAAATGTGTTTACTAGGGAGAGGTTTTCATACCGTTGTAAAGAATGATTCGTTCACTTTTTCAATTGATGTGAGATCTCATAGTTCAAAACAGTCATATTATAAATTTAAATTCCATGAATTGACGGAAAAGTATTATAATATGAACATATATAAGAAGACATCCAAAGACGCAAAAATTCAAATTTTTGGACCACACCAAACAAAAAGTAGTCGATAGAAGAGCCGAAAATAAACAATTCAAAGTACTTTATTGACTAATTATTCGTGAATTATAGGTTGAATTACAAATTTAGCCTTGAACTTTTAAATGTATATCTATCTCTAAATTTTAAAAGATTTATAAAAGTTTTCGAGCATTGTGAAAAGGATTCACAATTCAACCCAACCCAACCCTCTATTTCGAATTAGATTGAGTTGGATAGTTGAGCTTCCGTTCTTTTAATTATATTTATTCAGAGCATATATTTCTCTTAATAACTAAAATCTCATAAAAATACAAGTCACACCATATTATTAATTTATTGAAATTTTTTTAAATTTTATTAAACACATTATTGAAATTTAAAATATGTGAAGGAATATATTAACCATTTCTTTATTTTTTTGATCAAGGGACAAAAGACACATCTGGGTCTTTCTTCAACCATTTCTAATCTATAGTGAACCTCTTAATAGGATTCGAACCCATATGAAGTTCTGACCATTGTTAGAGAAAAAAGAACAATGAATCTTGTAAGATTCCTGAGAAATTCTTCGATTTCTTCCGAAAGCGGATGATTATTCATCTGCTTCTCACATTCGGTGAATAGCCGGGACATTGAGGAATATCCAGAAAAGCATTTAGGGAATCGATTCGGTGAATAGCCGGGACATTGAGGAATATCCAGAAAAGCATTTAGGGAATCGGTCTGATTCTATCTCTGTTCATTCCATTTGAAGAAAGGAAGGATCCCAAAGAATCAATTTTTCTTTTAGTTCTAGGTGATCGTTTAAAAATTTAAAACCATGATATAAAAATGTAAATAAATAAATTAAACTCGCATTTTACTTGAACTACTACGAGACTACCCAAAATTTGATGTATTTTTAATATATATATATATATATTATTAACTTTGCTTTATTTGTTAATAAAAGAAACAAAAAAGGGATGGGAGGACACCAAATTGCAAGTGGGTTTTATAGTCAACCAATCAAAAACTACACTTTCTTCTCTAATTTTTCCACAAAAACTAAAGTCAAGTAAATCATGAACAAGAGCCGACGAAGATAGTGCCATTGCAAGTACATGTCAAGACAGTGGGGGATGGATTAAAGGCAAGTCGACAATTCCAATAGTTGTGGGCCAAACCATACCAGTTTTCTTCCATTAATGGCCTCTCTTACCTTTCCACTCTTAACTGAGAGGAGACTTCTGGTCTGCCATTCATGCCCCTTTCATGTAGGGTGCCCTCTGACTTCTACACTTCTATTTCCTAATTTCCTAATTCGTTAACGGATATTATGAATCGAACGAGCTTCGAGTCCTCGAAGATTCGGCTCAACATTTCAGGGTCAACTTAAATCAGTTCTCTTTCCATTATCAGATACATGAAAGCAAGATGAAACAGCAGCGATCAGCTGGCAGGCCATGGTACAGTAACTATATATCCTAGATGACTAAAAGTTCGACGACACCGTGCGTGTAGTACTTACTAGATAAAACTGATAATGTTGCTAACTGTCAACATTCAATAACGATCAAATGATGATGGCCTCCCTGCTGCTCTGCTAGGGCGATCGTAAGGAGCTGGTCTGTTCCTGTAGCTTCTTCCCTCGTTGCGTGCTGGACCGCTGCTTTCGTACTTATCAACCCCACGAGGTCCACCATCTCTATAATAGCCCCTATCTTTACCAAAGCTGTTTACGGGAAATCGACCAGAGTCGTTGTTGTACCTACTGCTTCCAAAGCGGTCTCCGCTAGGTGGGTACCTATAGGGATGAGAGGATTGATCAAGTATAATGCTGCAAGGAATTAATTGAGAAGTCATGTGATTACTCAGCAAAACAAAGGATATTGGATCACTCTTCTGTTAATTTATCGTATTCTAGTGATAATTACTTTAAAAGGATAAATTTTAAGACTAGAAAAATAACAAACATATTTTATACACAGAAAATAAAATTCAAATCCATAGAAATATCAGTCATTACCTGTCACTAACATAGCGATCGCGACTCCCATATTTGTCCCTGCTGCTATCAAAACGATCTCTATCTCCAAGGCGTCCACCACCTTCATAACGATCATCCACATAACGATTATTATCTCCAGCAAAGCGATCCCCATAATCGCTATCCCCAAGTCGAGGACGTGAAAGAAATGAGTCTCCTCCCCTTCCTCGACCACCGCCCACAGGACAATCTCTGGCCCAGTGTCCAGGACGTCCACATTTGAAGCATTCATCTTGCCTAGCAGATCTATCTCCTCCTCCTCCACCACCATAGCTGCTATCCCTGCCACCACTTGAGTAGCCTCCCCCCCTGTAACCGTGGTCCATATCTTCTCCCATTTTAGGTTCAGCCTTGTTCACTGAAATGATTCGTTCTCCAAATTCCTGTCCATGCATCTCTCTGATAGCATCATCCATTCCCCGTCGATCTGAAAACGTGATAAACCCAAAGCCACGTGGGCGCCCTGTATTTTTTTCCAACATGATCTACAGGAACGCCAAAGAGGAAGTTTACGCCAGTCAATAAAACAGACCATAGAACTTAAATCAGAGCTAGTAAAGTACATCTCATGCTAATAATGCAAGTGACAACTTCAAACCTACAAGCCATCAGCATAGCTCGAAACTAGATTATGAAGAAAATTTGTCTAACATAACAAAACCTGGCATTAATCAAGTGACGAAGAAGACCATCACAATGAAAGATAAATAAATAGCCCAGGATTCCATCCACTCAATATTCAAAGATGACATGTTTCATGATGAAATCTATGCCCTAACCACCAATATAAGGTGATTTTGTTTTGGTATTTAAGATCCCATGTGACAACACTCTGAAGGTTGGAGTCGTTGAAAACGAGGTGAATCTAAGAGGTATAAAATCAATACCAAACAGTTGCCATGATCAACAAATTAGAGGATAAAACTCCATTAAACTATCATTCAGCAAATATGGTAACAGATAAGTTACAGGTACAAGCTGGTGATGACATTCGGCCTATCACATGCTGTATGCACGATAAGTACAACATCTAAAAGAGAAATCGTTCGAAGTTAAAACTTATAGTAATTGATAATAACAGCATAAAATATTTTAAACAGTCTGACAAACTTACTTGTTTCTTCCATTTATGAAGAACTCATTGCAACATGTTACATAATTCCTTAACAAAACAAAAGAACCTGCATGTCTTTATCTCTATCTTCTGAAGTGGGAGTATCTTAGACCTCTAGTCCCCTTTTATTCAAAAGAAACAACTCCACAAAAAAAATTGCTACATGGGTTCTGTGCAGTCAGGCATCCAAAATGGCACTCAAATCCAATGTTGACTCAAAAAAACCCAGTACAAACACTTCACTGGATATGTGTATTATTCCGGGATTTGTTAACCTCAACAAATAACACACAAGGGAAACACAAGAATTTTATAGCCATCTTGCTATCAATACCATATTGGGATGAGATCTGAAATAGATGGTGGAATAAATCTGAAAGATGAATCCTTAAGCAACACATCTTCCAAGATGAATGCTCTAGGAGACATAGGCAAGTTGGAGATGCCAGCACATTCTGTAATTGAGATCCCGTCAGCAGTTTGTGGACAAGAGGATGTACTAGAAAACTTGATTACAGACAACAGCTTGCATGGCAACCGTACTTAACTAGGTACATATTCAACCCCTCTTAAGTTTAAATAGAATCAATAATCGAGGAATTCAAACTCTGATAACACAAAATACTGTCAACGAGTATAAAATGAGGGAACTAGCACACCACAAAAAAGGAAAACAAAATAGCAGAATTCTGGACCGATCTCAAGGAACAACTTCAAACAACGGGAAAAGGTTGAAAACCAATGGATGGAAAACTAAAGCTCCATAATTTCTCAGGTTGCCACAACCTAAATCCATTCCTCTAAATAACTCATAAAAAACCCAACCTGCAACACTGCACCTAAAGACACTCAAATTTAGCTTCAGATCCAATTGCTTTGCTGCAGTCTATACCCAACAAATAGATATCCATAATGCTTGGTCAAACAGAAAGAAATCCAGCATCAGAGGCCTTTAGAGATCTGGAAAGTACAAATGGCGATAATAACCACGTCAACGTCCATTCTCCATGTCCACTGTATAGTATCTTAACATTTTCACCAGAGATGACAACAACCGATAAGAGAAGGCACTCAAACTGACATTTACAATTCAGCTATCTTTGTACAACAAGGAAATATGTCAAACTAAAGACTACAAATGCATTTTGGCCAATTCTTCGGAAAATGTCTGAGCAGCTAAGCCTGGAATTGCTAGTACAATTTCTAGCCACATCAACTGCTGAACAAAAACCAATACGAACAACTTTCTGATTATGCCTGGACAAGTAGGGAACTCTGATTTACCTCAGCAAAATGAATTCAAAGAAGCAGTGCCTACTCAAAAGGATAAAATGGCTATTGATCTCCAAACACTGCACCTTGTACGGTATCATAAATCTTAGCCAAAAAGGAGGCACCAATTCAACGTATTCTTCATCTTAGAACACTGACAACTCTCAACACCAGTGAAACTAGCAAATGAAAAACCAGCTATCTCTCACTCTGCTAATGATTACAGTAAAGGATAGGGAAACGAAGAGAACATTACAATGAAGCAGCCAGTAGTATGAAACAATCTTTGGACAACAAAATTTTGCATCCAATGACAAATGTCTACAGAACTTTTCTGTGATTAGATGACTTAGCAAACCAATTATCTGAGTCAATATGGTAGTCTAGCCCAGAACTTCTGCCCCAGGTACATCATCTCATGTAACCACATAACTTCATCATTAAATTTTAGTCATACCATTGGAAAGTAGGGTAAGCCAAGGATAAGATGGAGGGTTTAATAATCATCCAGAGAAAGATAAAATTCTCCAAGCAAATACTAGAACATTTTATTTCTCGAATACACAACATTTTAGTGACTTCAGTTTCTTCTTCAAAAGCATCAAATAACAATAAGACAGGAAGGTATGCTCGAGCAGGTATCAGCACATGACTTGTTAATAGTTACTCTGGTATTAAATCATTTATCTGTCGCAAAAGAATGACGAGTACTTTTATCCCACAGAACAAGTTAGTCACTGAGTTCGCAAACTAAAATCCCACCAAACCCCAATCAGCTAGAGAACAAGATTGAGTTTGCCGCCAACCATATTCCAAATTTCCAGACTGATAGTACTTTTTCTTAACCAGCAGATCTTAAACAGATAAGGCTTAACCAACGTACAACCCTATGACCTTCAGCATCTTGATGCATTCAACTTCTCATGAACAGTTAAACCGCTTCCCAAAAATTTCATTAACAGCATCCTCATTCACAAGGGGAAAAAAACATTCATCAGAAAGAGAAGAGGACGGAGACAAATTAAAGGTTAAAAAAAAAAGCTGAAAGTAATAGTTAAACTTACAGGGGCAAGGTTATTTAGAGGGAAGGGAGTGGAAATTCAGAAATTATATTTTCCATAAGATCAATAACACTGAAATGAAACCGAATTAATCCAAAATCTCCTCAATTTCCTTCTCATATCAGAAACAGATTAATTACTCATTCCAACGTGCTCAGTTTCTTCGATTTCCAGCCACACAAATCAAACCAAAAATCAAAAAGTAAATCACAAAGGGTAACCTGAGAATCGATAATCTTTCCGAATCGACTGAAGGCATTCTCAAGCTGACGCTCCGTGATTTCCCACGATAACCCACCCACAAATATTCGGTACTCATCTCTCCCAGCCATATCAACACCGTATTTCAGAAAACTCCTCCTGCAAACAAAATCCAGAGTAATTAGAGAAATCCAAGAACAAAGTTGAACGGAAATCAACGAGAAACAACATTCATCAAGTGCTTCCCACCGAAAATAACAATTGATTCTATGATTTAGAAGAAAGTAACGAAGATAGAGAATGGGAATACCTTGTTCGTGCTGTGTAGTGTGAAATATCCTCAAAGAATGAACCCTCGTTTCCTTCTAGAGATTCCTGAAGAACCCTAGAAAATAAATACGTAAATAGACACGATATTTATTTATTTTTATTTAAATTTTATTTGTTTGATTCCAAGTAGAGGATTGAAATAAATAATTATAAATAGAATTATTATTATTACATTTATTTAGGGAAAGGATTAATTTTTTAACTTTATATTATTAAAATATTCTTAGTTACTTTTAAAATTTTTTTTATCTAAATTTATAAATAAAAATAAAATATTTCTAATTACTTTTAATTACTAATATGATTAAAATATTTATTTATTTTATTTAGATTAAAGACTTTGATCCAATAATTGAATTTCTTTTATTATAATTGGGAAATTGTTTTCAAAATAAAAAAATAGAAAAAAAATTGGAAAAAGGGGTTTTAAGAAGCTGAAAATAAATTATATTTCTATAAAAAAAAAAATTAATAAAATCAGCTCGACGGCGCGTCGCCGATGAAAAAATGAGTATATATGCATCGGAAGTCGACCGCCATCTTCTTCCAGCGAGGGAAAGGGAAATTCTCTGTTAAAACGAGTTGAATTGAAGTTCAGAGGAAAAGAAAGATCTTCTACTTGGATGGCGCAGATTCCGAACTTGGATAATGCTCCTCTGAATCTCCGAGCACTCAGGTTCTTTATTCTGATCAACGCTTCTTAATTTACTGCTAATTTCTTTCAAACCGTGTCGTCAAGTTTTCATGGTCGGATTTTCAGGGAGCATTCTCAGAAGGAGCTTATAAACATCCTGAAAAATGTGAGTTCCTTTCCCGCGGTTAACAATAATGGCGAATTTTCGTTTCACTAGTTTTTTTTTTTTTTTTTTTCCCTATCTATCTGTTAGGCTACCGATCATGCATTTCACAAATGAAAAAGTAGACTGTACTCGGAGTTTGTGGATGATTTAATTAACCTGCAAGTTTAGTATAACATTGGAGATTAGATTTCGAAGAGTTAATTTACAAAATTTGCTTTGAATTTGAATGTTGCTTTATAGATTCGAGGAAGGAAGTGTTTGGTCGTTGATCCTAAGCTTGGAGGTTCTCTTTCATTAATCATCCAGACGTCAATTCTTAAGGTACTCTCTTCTGTTCAATAAAGGCTTGTTTTTACCGGTGGGCGAAGGAGATCGGATACTGTAAGAGTTTATGTGAATATCTCCTTTTCTTATCTATATTTGGTTTTCCATTTTCAATCTTGTGAATTGGGTTGTGTTTTTATTCAGTTAAGTCATGTTTTATCTTACAATGGGTTGTGTTTTTATTCAGTTAAGTCATGTTTTATCTTACAATGGAGTTTCGTTTTTCTAGTGGGAATTTAATTATTTCTCTCACTTGCCAATTTGAATCTTTTGAGGAATTGCGACTGCGTGATACAGGAACATGGAGCTGAATTACGACATCTATCATCTGATCCAATTCAAACTGACTGCAATAAGGTGGTTTATCTTGTTCGTGCTCAGATGGATTTGATGAGATTTATATGTTCACATATTCAAAATGACACTTCGAAAGGGCTTCAAAGAGAATACTTTGTTTATTTTGTCCCTCGCCGCACAGTGGTTTGTGAGAAGGTAAGAGTTGGCATAAGCCGGAGTCATGGACTAATTTTAAATTTTACAAGTTTAAAAACTTTGTTCACATCCTCATAATCAGAGTTTAAATTTAAATGAGGCAGGTTCTGGAGGAAGAAAAGGTCCACCACCTATTGACCATTGGGGAGTATCCTTTATACGTTATTCCATTGGATGAGGATATTCTGTCATTTGAGCTTGATCGTTCTAACAAAGTATGGAAAGAAGTTCATTCAGTCGTTTTATGTGATATTTTCAATGTTCTTTCTTCCTGTGCATGATTTGACATTTAACTTTTCTCCCCCTTTCCGGTAGGAATACCTCGTTGATGGTGATTCTAGTTCACTCTGGCATATTGCAAAAGCAATCCACAAGCTTGAGGTTTTACAATCTTTCCTCCATATTTTTTCTATGATACCTAGGATAAAACCTAGGACTGGGACATATTTAATCTGTTCATGAATTCAATGCTGCTGTATAGTAAGTACATTGTTAGTACTGTAAAAAATGCAGGATTTATTCCCATATTCACTCATTCATATTCGTGAGTTACTGTGTAATCATGGGATAATTATTTGGTTGTGACGTTAGTTTTCCTTTGGAGCAATACCAAATGTGAGGGCCAAAGGCAAAGCATCTGTCCGTGTTGCTGACATTCTAAATCACTTGCAAACAGAGGAACCTGTTAACTCAAATGATGTAAATGTCTAACTTGAAGCTATCTCTTGTTATCTTTCTCTTTCTTTTTGAATTTCATTTAAACAATTTATGCAAGAATTGATTTATTCATTTTATTTCAGATGGCTGTGCCAGAGATAAATACACTCATTCTTTTAGATAGGGAGGTAAAGTTCAACTAAACTCCATTTTCCCCTTGCGAATGTCACTAGGTAACATGGGTTGGATTGTGTAGGTTATACTTCGCTTGTATATTAGTTTCTGTAATTTAGTGATAGGGGTACAGGAGTTACATTTTTTTCAAGGCATGAATAGTTGTATTTGAATCATTTAGATTCAATTTGAATACTTTGTTCTAAAGCTCCTTGGTTTCCATGGAGGTAGTGCTAGTTTGTGTATGATATTTGTCTAGTCTATTCACTTGGCTTTTTTGTTTAAAACTCATTCCTGCTTTGCAGGTAGACATGGTCACTCCCATGTGTTCTCAGTTGACATATGAAGGGTTGGTTGATGAGGTGAGCTAATGCATGGGTGGAGCTTTTTTTCTTTGCCCCATTGGACGATCACTTGATATTTGTTTGACATGAAGATTCTTATGTGGGAAGATAGCTAATTTGCTACAATGTTTCCCATTTTGGTTTTAAAACCGCACCACACCACACCAACTCTCGCTTATATTTTCTTCGCAGTACTTGTTATAGCTCGCTCACCATAATTCAAATAGGCTGGGTATGTATTTGATTTTGTTCTGAAGTTTTCCTATACGTCCTTTGTAGTTTTTGCAAGTGAATAATGGTGCTGTGGAGCTTGATTCATCAATCATGGGTGCTCAACAAGATGGAAAAAAGATTAAGGTTCCACTTAATTCAAGGTTTCTACAATCTTTGCTTGATATGTTTAGCCATCCTTTGCAGCAAGCATTATATCTGATTCCATCAAATTTTATATTTGTTGGTGTTCTTTCCTTTTTGCGAAATGGAAATACTTGTTTAATTCCTTTGATGAAGTCATTAACTACAAAAAACCATTTCAAGATAGTGTTAATCTGGCTGAGTGATTATATTATTCTGAATGTCGAAGGATTCTAAAATTCCAATCACATTCTAGTTTGATGGTAGCTGTTTGTTTGTTTTATTTTTTATTTTTTACTCCCTATCTCACTTCTATTTCTGAAATTTGTGTTTATTTCTTTCTTCACTTGTATCTCTAGTGACAAGCTGTATAAAGAAACAAGGGATCTGAACTTCGAAGTGGTTGTCCAGGTTGATCTAGTTTTGTCAACTTAATTTAATGCATTGTAATTAACTCCTTGTTTCTCGTCATCCCTTATTTTAAAGTTTGCATGTAAAATTGTTTTAACTCACTTTCTTGAAGTTCCATTTTCTTAATTGTTATCTTCAGCACAATTGCAGATTCTACGTCAAAAAGCTATGTCCATGAAGGAGGACTATGCAGAGATGTCAACTACCGTAAGCAGTTTATTCTTTTACCATATGATTGTCATTTTCTGTATGTTCTTTTTCCACCTTGCCATTAAGTTGTCATGTCTGTGTTATGTTGTATCCATCCCTTCTGAAAGGGTTAATGCTTCTTTTTTCCTGTTGTATGATAAATTGTCAATCTACACATTTATTTCTAATAACTCAAATAATGAAGAAGGAAAAGCTTTTTCAACAAACTCTAATTGGTAGTTCATGTCAAATGCAGACGCAGTCCGTTTCTGAGTTGAAGGACTTCGTTAAAAAGCTTAATTCATTGCCAGAAATGACAGTAAGTATCTTCTACTTTTTCTTCTTTTTTTTCTTTTTCTTCCTTGAAGACTTATCGAGGGGCATTTTACATTATAATAAAATCACTATTTGCCACAATTTCTTTCTAGAGGCACATTAACCTGGCTCAACACTTGTCGACGTTTACTTCAAAGCCATCCTTTCTGGGGCAGCTTGACATGGAACACACAATTATTGAAGCTGAAAGCTATGACATGTAAACTAATATTTTACTCGAGTTTTTGGACATAAATTGTGCTTGTTGACTTGAACTTTTTGTTATATATAATTCTTGCAAGAAAAATATTGAATGCTTTATTTTTGTACGTGATGATGTATATCCAGGAAAAGGAGGCTTTATTTATGATCTTGTGCTTATATGGTCAAAATGTAGAAATCTAGTTGTTGAAGCCTAAATGACAAAGCTACTTTTCATGTTCGTTGTGCAATGCCCTGCTTTTCTTGTTTGGTCTTCTTTATGGTACTTTTGAAGTTCGTTTATGTTGACTTTTTAAAAGTTAATTATCTTTTCAACTTCACATGTACTTGTTGTTTTTCCTCTATGTTTACGTTCTGCACGTGCGAAGTAGTTATTATTCAAATAATTATTTAGAACAATCCTTATTGTTTTTTTTTTTTTTTAATTTTTTTACAACTACCCTGTCAAGTACATTTTTCAATTAAAGAAGCCTCTTCTTTTGTTTAAAATAAAAAGTAGTTTTTAAGTACAGTTTTTAAAGGAGTCCTATAGTTATCTTGAAAAGATACTTATCTAGTGCCTACCACTTCTGTAGATTATGTGTTATATGTTGGTGAAAATATTCTAGTTTCTGCCTGCAGATGTTTTGAGTACATTGAAGAATTGATTCATAAGCAGGAGCCTCTTGTTAAAGTCCTCCGTCTTCTCATCTTGCTTTCTGTTACAAATTCTGGTTTACCTAAAAAGCAATTTGACTACTTGAGGTAAGAATTACTCCATTCAGATTTTTGGTTCCTTCTATTAATTAGGGTACTCTTGGTGCCTTACTTAACTTTTGCATTTATAGGAGAGAAATACTTCACAGCTATGGGTTTGAACACATGGGCACATTAAATAACATTGAGAAAGCGGGATTAATTAAAAAACAGGTTGGGCCTTCTTCATCTAGATTGAGGGAATTTGTGGTGTACTTTTGAATATTCAAGATCTTACATCATCCATGAAAATGTTCAACCATGATTGTTACGGTCTATTCCTTGCAGGAATCAAGAAGCAACTGGCTGACTATCAAACGTGCTCTGCAACTTGTTGTAGACGACACAAACACAGTCAAGTATTTTTCTTCTTCATCTTGTTACCAATTGTTTTATAGTTGGATTCTTAAATAATTTCAAGGCACATGCAGATCCACATGCAGCAACATTTTTGCTTTTGATTTTTACATTATAGTTCTGTATGTTAGCAATATGTGATACCTTTTCATCTGCTACATTAGAACTATGTTTTAGAGTAATGGCACCGCTTCACTTACCTTGAAGTAGCTGTTTTGTAGTTATATTGAAGAGAAATGAATGCTTTTTGCAATTTAACCGATATTGAATTTTTCAAAAGCCCCTAAGGCTGTCGTTTTCTAATCTATTTGAAAGCTATTGTCTTGTACTTTAATGTTCCTTCCCTTTATCTTATGCTTTCCATTTTAGAATTTCTCTAAATTTATGGCTTCCAGCAGCTATGAGCTGAAACCATAAGCATATGAACTTTTACTGTCAAGATACCACTTGAGTTTTGAGTTTATATTATAATTGCTTTTCGTAAAGTAATACTCAAGTATTTGATATGGATTTCTACCATGATAGATTTAGCCAGTTAAATTTGTGCTCCAATTTAGGAGTGGTCTTCTCCTCTTTTTTTTTTTTTTTTTCATTTAGTACAATAATGTCCTTTTTACCATTTTTCTACCTTAATTAAAAGCTTCTTATGGTTCAATATAAAATTGTGGCAGAGTTGGCGTCTACTCTACATTTAGAGTGATGTGTTCAAGAGAATTATACAAATGATGATGCATTGATGAACAGATATATTTTTTTAAATGTTGAGTGAGACAAATTGTAAGAAATGAAATAAAAAGGGAACATTTATCTTTTTACTCATTTGTATGAAGGGATCTTATTGTAATGGATTTTTCACTCGGGGCCTGTCTAGGATTGTTAGCATTTTACAATTGGCACCTCTGATTCATACCCAGTTTAGAATTGCATGTGATCTTTGTTTCCACCATCTATAACTCATGCACCATCTTATGCCAAAAGTGCTGCTCTACATGGTGAAATTCAGTGCAAGGTTATTTTTTACAAAACGTCTGCCTTTTTTGGCTGTCAATATATTTTGACTTCTATTTATTACGGTGCAGCCCAACTGATATTGCCTATGTCTTTTCTGGATATGCTCCTCTTAGCATTCGTCTTGTCCAACAAGCTGTTAGGTCTGGATGGTAAGCCTTTTTTTATTTTGTGAAAATTTCTAATATTTGCAAGGTTAATATCATCTTGGTCTCCATACTTTGAAACTTATTTCATTTTAGTACTTACTTTCTAATGTCCAAATTTGGTCCTTGTCCTTTCAATATAACCGAAAATTAGTGCTTATGGTTAGTTTGAAGTTAATTTTTATGACTTAATAAAAGAATAGGCATAATTTTCATTTAAAAAAAGACACCATGTGAATGTATTTACCTAATTTTTAGGCAAAAAGCTTATACGGACTAAATATTTTTACCAAAAATGAACCATGGGGACTAATTTTGAGATATATTGAAAGTAGAGGGACTAAAGTGAAATAAGTCCCAAAGTGTAAGGACTAAAATTGTACTTTGACCTATTTGCAATCAATGCATAGTCTTTTCTTGTTAGTTACAGTTTTACCAATGAATATTGTGAAGAAAAAAAATGGCACAATTCTAATTTGCGATCTCATTCTAAGTAATTTTGTATTTAACTTTAATTGGGTTTGGTTTCTGTAACCTCTTAGGGCGGGATTGTTATGTCATTAATTTCATAAACTGTTTTTCTTCCCTACCTAATTTCCTTTTTCCATTATTTACGTTTGTTTCCGTTCTCAAATTTGTTCAGAATCTACTATTTCTTCGTATGTATGTGCATAAATTTTTGTACTTCGGTTATGATTTACCTCCATCTGTCCAATTTTATCTCATTGCGTATATGTATCAGGCGTCCTGTTGAGGAAATTTTGAAGTTATTGCCTGGACCTCATTCAGAAACAAAGAGAGTCAGTAAATTTATCTTCACAATTTTTATGTTTTTTTTGTAATTTTGTTTACTTTTATCTTTGGCTTTATTTTTCATAATTCTGGTATCCTTATCTCTCTCTCCCTTTCCCCATCCTGGTTTTTAAATCTAGGGTGGATTCCTTAGCAGTTCATCATATGATTCCTTGCAAGGGGCTTCAACCAGTAATGACAAGTAAGTCTCAACTCTCTCAATATATATGTTTAAGTAGGTTGGTGTAAGACCAGTGTGATAAGATTTTATTAAAGAAAGTTCTATCCTCCAAAGAATAAAGAGGCTAGTATTTATTTTAGCGCTGGTCGTGTAACTACCTAACTAAAAGGTCTCATACCAATGGAGATGTATTCTTTACTTATAAACCCATGATCATTCCCTAAATTAGCCACCATGGAACTCCCTCCCAACAATCCTCCCCTCGAACAAAGTACCCACTATAGAGCCTCTCCCGAGGCCTATGGAGCCCTCGAATATTCTCCCTCTAATCGAGGCTGGACTCCTTCTCTGAAGTCCTCGAACAAAGTACACCATTTGTTCGACCCTTGAATCACTTTTGACTATACCTTCGAAGTTCACAACTTCTTTGTTCGACATTTGAGGATTCTATTGACATGACTAAGTTAAGGGCATGACTCTAATACCATGTTAGGAATCACAGCTCTCCATAATAGTAGGATATTGTCCACTTTGAGCATAAGCTCTCATGAGTTTGCTTTGGGCTTCCCCAAAAGACCTCATACCATTGGAGATGTATTCCTTACTTATAAACTCATGATCATTCCCTAAATTAGTCAATGCGGGACTCCCTCCCAACAATCCTCAACATGAAAGAAGCCAAAATACAGAAAACAAGGCAAAGCAATTACAAGTGTAGCCCCTTTACGACACGTCAAGCATTATATCTTATACTGGAGTAGGGTGTTTTGGTCCTCTGGTTTTGCAATGTCCAACTTATTCGCTCGTGATTTTCTTTGTTTAAGAAGTGAGCTTCAGTATCATTGATATATTGGCTGTGAATTTGTTATATCATATATATTGATCAATATGTGATGCTTGTTTATAAAAATTACTACGCTAAAGAATACCAAGAAGAGACACGTTCGTTAATGCAGTTTCCTCATAATGCACTAGTGAGTATTTCATTGATTTGACTTTGACAATTAAATGCTTCAACTTCTCATAGAGTGACAGATGGAAGGCGCACAGTTGTGCTCGTTGTTTTTATTGGAGGAGTCACATTTGCTGAAATTTCTGCTCTTCGATTTCTCAGTGGTCAGGTATGAAGTTAACTTTGTCTATTAAATTTTGTAGATTTTGTATGATTTGGGAAAGGCTGATTTAATTAGTAAACTTGTTAGAACAGTTAACGTGAAGGTAGAAAATATTAGGAAGTAAATTTCCCAAAATAAAGAACTATTAAGAAACATTTTCTTTGGAATACAAGCTAAATTTCCCTAGTTTTCATGTATCTATAATTAATTCGTATAATTGATATCAACATGTACATTAATGACAACATTTTACTGGAAGAGAGCATATCAATGGTGTTTCATGTTTGTCACTTACAGTCATAACTTCGCAAATGACTAGTAAGAGTTGGTCATATCCGTATAAGAACAGATAAAAGAGAAGGAGAAAGGGAAAAATGAAAAAGAAAAAGAAAAAGAAGAGAAACTTGTGGAAGTTACAGACCGAGCGTGCCTAGTCATCTTTAGCTAAGCATGAATGATATCTGCCACAGCTTGTGTATAGTTGAATTCTAACGGGTTTTACGCCCAACCGAATCGAATCGAATTGAATCAACTGGATATGATTATCCCGCTGTTTTTAGGGGAAATCTCGATGCATTGTGTACGGTATATGTTTATTTGTAGGGCTTTTCTCCCCAGAATTTCTCATTCAATTGTTCTCATCTTGCAGGAGGGAATGGCCTACGAGTTGATAGTTGGTACCACGAAGATAGTTAGTGGCAATAGCTTGACTGAATCATTCATGGAGAAGTTAGGCTAATTGTGTTTCTAAAATGGAAATAAATCACTTCATACATCTAAGCTTTTTATCTAATTTGATCTGCAATGTGCTCAAACCTTTTTGGTTCACTTAATACTTTGATCTGTTCGTCTCGTTTTTTTCTCTTTCGATTGAGATTAGTCGACCGTGACGATACAGAGTGTTGGTTTGTCCCTGTTCTTGCAGTAACCAAAAATATGACCCAAGAGTGTAAAAATCCTCTTATTTTCTAATGATTTGATATTCCATTTCAGATTACTTCAAAAGAACAGCCTAGCACTTTCTTCACTAAATTTCAAACAAGAATTACATAATTCTACATGAAAATTTCTTCATTATAAATACAGCAACATTATATAGTATTATTAATGCCTTATAATTACAAGGGTGAAGATGGTCCATCAAAGCGTTGAAAGAGCTCTAGAATGCTTCCTGCTTTCCTCTTTGCTCTGTCTGTGCCATTCTCAGATACTTCTTTCAGTGCCTCTTCAGCACCATGCTCCCTAGCTAGCTTCAACTGCTCGAAATCGGTACTGCAAAGTGACCACAGCACGGCTGCAGCGTTTTCCCGGTTCCGTGGCGAACCAGTTTTGATGAACTCTAACAGAACCGCCATCGGCTCGGCTTGCCCTATTGCTACCTTTCCTTCATGGTGAGTTGCAAGAATGGCCAGAATGGCTAGAGCTTCATCCACCATGCCACCTCCAGTGTCTTTCAGAAATCCCATGAGTGGAGTCACAATGCCTGCTCTTAAAGCCCTAGCTTTGTTTCCCTGATAGATTGAAAGATTGAAGATAGCAGTAGCAGCATCCTTCTTTCCTCTGGGAGTACCTTCACAAAGCAAGCTTATGAGAGCAGGAATCGCCCCAGCTGCTCCGATGGCGACCTTGTTCTCGTCTATCACGGATAAGCTGAAAAGGGTTGCAGCTGCATTTTCCCTTGCTTCCATGCTGCCATTTTTCAGTACTTCGACAATAGCAGGAATGGCTCGAAGATCGACAATCGTTCTTTTGTTACTGTCGTTGATTGAAAGATTCAATAGTGCTGTAACTGCATGCTCCTGAGTCCTAGTATCATTTGAGGATAATAGTTCGACGAGGAACGGAATGGCTCCCGCCTCCGCGATACAAATTCTGTTATCGGAATTCCTCTTCGCTAGTAGTCGGAGCTCGCCAGCAGCTGATCTTTTCTGTTCTGGAGATCCATTAACCAGTTTTAGCAGTAATGCATCGATGGTAGCCCGATCGCAGTCTGAAATACTGCTTCCGGGTTTCTTGCTTCTGCAGTTACCTTGCTTCCTTGGCAATTCAACGCCATTGTTCTCACACCACAAAGAAATCAAGCTCTTCAAGACATAATTTGGTGTTAAGGCTGTATGTTGTAAAGCTTGCTGAGTTTTTGGACAGGTTTTGTGCCCTGCATCCAACCATTTCTGAATGCAAGATCTCTCGTACGTCTGCAAGAGGTCACACGGTAGCGAGACGAATAAGAATAACAATAAGTAAAAAAAAACATTGCATCAGTCAATACGACGCTCACCTGCCCAGTCGAGACAATGACGGGATCCCTCATTAATTCAAGAGATATGGGGCACCTGAAATCGTCGGGGATGACAGGAGATCTGTGTTTAATAGTCGTACTTTTTTCATCTTGAGAAGTTTCAACTTCCGGGTTTTCTGATTGTACATAATCCTTCAACTTCTTTAAAATGGACGACAGTTTACCAAAAACATCCCCCGGGTCTCCTCCATCGATCGAGATCACCAGCTCATGGATCGCTAACGACTCTTTCTTCAGATCGGTTATACTTCGAAGATGCAGTTTTTCAGAAACTCTTTTCAATATTGCAGGGTCAGGATCTTTTTCTTCCTCTAATATGACTAAATCCTTGCCTAACTCTGCATCAGCTGAACCTACTCTCTCTTTTGCTCGTTTGAATTGCGCATGAACAAGTTCGGTCTGAAACGGATCGAATAAGCAAAGTTCATCATTGGTAACTGGTAAGTGTATAACTCATCCAACTCAACTCATCAAAAGTTGATTCTAAGCATAGCAAACCTTATGCACAATGAACATTCAAGGAGGTGATAACCGTACCTGTTCTCGAACCTCATCCGAGATCCCGAGCTTGTTGATGGGAAGCTTGCTGAGTGCTGCCTCAATATCTTCAGTCATATGATGAAACTCAAGTACTAATTTCTCTAATTGCGAAGCCTGAGATGCAATAGTTCAATGAATTCAGGTAACAAGTTCAAAACAACAATTTGAAAGCTAATACTCTCTTAGTTAATATAGATAATTGTGAGATCCACGTCGGTTGAAAGTAGAACGAAGCATTCTTTATAAGGGTGTGGAAACTTCTCCCTGGCATATGCGTTTTAAAAATATTGAGAGGAAAACCCCAACAAGGACAATATCTACTAACAGTGGGCTTGGGTTGTTACAAATGATAACAGAGCTAGATAACGAGCGATGTGCTAGCAAGAAGGCTGAGCCATGAAGGGAGGTGGACACGAGGCGGTGAGTTAGCAAAGACGTTTGGCCTCAAAGATGGTGGATTGGGAGGTCCCACATCGATTGGAGAGGGGAACGAAGGCCAACGAAGATACTAGTCCCCGAAAGATCCCACTCCGGAGAACGAATCATTTTTTATAAGGATATGGAAACCTCTACCTAGTAATCGAGTAAATAATCACAAACACAAAATTCAAGAACGCGAACCTTACAAGAACCAAAACAGAATTCAATACCTGAAATAGCTTGCTACCTCGGCTGACCGATCTAAGAAGCTCTACAGCAGAATCCAAAGCAATTTTCAGCAACTCCAAACCCTTAAGAACATCTAATTCAAGTTCTTCATCTCCATCTCTCAATTCCTCAAACAAAGGGCTTAACAGCTTCACCCTTCGAATCAAATCCCCATACACCTTCTTGCATATGCCGTTATACTCAGGAAGCCCCGATATCTCCCTCAAAGACTCCCCCAGTTGACTCACCACCATGTCTTTCAGCTCCTTCCCCGATGGACCCATCTCGATTGCCTGCAAAATGGTCAAGAATCGCCCTCGAATCCCTTGAATTTCGAGGATTTTAAGAAGACCCAGATGAGAGAATCGGTTCGATTTCGATTGAACTGTTCAAACTAGGACGATTTAGTAAGAAATTTAGAACAGGGGCGCGTGGAAAACTCCATGGATGTTGAATTTGAAGTGGGTTAATGAAGAACGGTTGTATTTATAGTGCTGCCATTGAGGTGAAGTAATTGAAGTTTTAGGCTTAGGTGAGCCGTCGAGGGAGATGATTTCATTTGACAATGAATTGGCCAAATTTATATTTAATATTCGAGGGCTACGTGATGTAACTTTTTTGGACATTGGAGAAGACTTTGGCCGCTTAGGGCATGATCTTTGATTATCAATTACGGTTGAATTTATGACTCGACTTTTAATGAAAATATACGTGTAGATCGTATGGATATGAAAAAATTTGCTATCCATATTGCTAACGATGATGTGGGAGCTGGTGCCAACTCAATATGTGGACGTCGAGGAGATGGTTGTGATCTTCCTACTCGTCGTTGTGCACGATATGAATAAATGAATGATGGGGTGAATAGAATAATCGGAAGATAATTTGCAAGATTTGACACGTCCGTGTCTAGACACTTCAATGTCGTTTTAGATGTGGTGATTAGATTTAATGTGAGATCGCACGTCAGTTGAAGACGGGAACGAAGCATTTATTATAAGGGTGTGGAAACCTCTCCGTAATAGACGAGTTTTAAAATCTTGAGGGGAAGTCCCTAACAGGAAAGTCGGACAATATCTGCTAGTAGTGGGTTTAGGCTGTTACGAATGATGTTAGAGCTAGACATAGGGCGGTGTGCCAACATTGACGCTAGCCCCCAAAGAGGTGGATTGTGAGATTCCACACTCGTTTGAGAGGGGGAACGAACCACTTCTTATAAGTTACACTTAAGCTGGTCACGAACACTTCCACGGGTGAGAAATAGTGATGGTTTGAGGTTCCACAACTTCTCCGCTCATTTCCAATATTGATCGTGAAACACCACGAGCAGCAAAATGTTGAGGTCCCAAATTGGAAGTGAAATTTGTACTTGCATTACCTATATATATGATTTCACGGTTCAACCACTCAAACCAAATCTCTTATTTTATCGCAACTAAAGTCAACATACGTGTAGTCAATCGTACATGATTAGAAATGTGAGATTGTCACAAATGCCCTTATCGTGATTTCCCAAAACTATGAATTCATATTCATCCTCCCTCGATCGGAAGGACCAACATCTGATTCCACGGTTGGATTGAAGGTCCCAAGTAGTAAATAATTGAATTTTCACTTCGACCCTATACGTCCATGAACAACGTACCTAAGTGTGAGCATTAATATTTTTTATGTGTCTGATATCGTCATCCCAATATATAAGAATTTTTAGCTCTATAGTGAGGATAATAGTACCATGTGATTTATTGTCCATTAGGATTTATATACTAAAGTCTCGTAATTAATTATTTTACTATTATTTTATTTACCATTTATAACTTTTGTAATTGATTCAATATATCTATCATTTTGATAACTTACCAAATTCAGCTAAAAATATGTGATATCCCACATCGGTTAGGGAGGAGAACGAAACACCATTTATAAGGGTGTGGAAACTTCTCCCTCTCCCTAGCATACGTGTTTTAAAAATCTGGAGGGGAAGCCTGAAAGGAAAAGCCCAAAAAGGACAATATTTGCTAGCGGTTGGCCTAGGCTGTTATAAATGGTATCAGAGCCCGACAATGGACGATGTGCCAGTGAGGAGGCTATTCCTCGAAGGAGATAGACACAAGAAGGTGGTGTGCTAGTAAGGATGTTGGGCTCGTCCAGCGAGGAGGCTGTTCCTCGAAGGGGGTAGACACGAGGAGACAGTGTGTCGTAAGGACACTGGGTCTCGAAGGGGGTAGATTTAGTGGGGGTAAGGAGGTGGATTTGGTGAGGTCCTACATTGATTGGAGAAAGCAACGAGTGTCATCAAAGACATTGGACCCTAAAAGAGGGTAGATTGTAATATCCCACATTAGTTGAAGAAGAGAACTAAAGTATAGAAACTTCTCCGTAGCATACGCGTTTTAAAATTTTTTGAGGGAAAGCTCGAAAGAAAAGGCCCAAAAATGTCAATATCTATTAGCGGTGGACCTGAGCCGTTACAAAATATAATCTTATAATATGAAATTTAAGCGTTTCTTGATTTAGTCATATGTATGTCATACATACATACATACATACAGATATATATATATATATATTATTTGAAATAGAGATATTTTCTATTTAAACGTTGAATATTGGAAAATGGAAATGAAGCGAGTCAATTGCGCGTATACACAAAACGTGGCCAATAAATCACGCGCCGCCGAGGAGGGAGACACTAGTGGGCCCTCCTTCTAGATATGTAATTCCACGTATTATTAATTTAATTTCAAAATATAATATTATATTTAAAAACCAAACAACACAAGCAAGCATTTTTTTAGTTTAAAAATTAGTTCTTTGATTTTTTATCTCGTTTTTATTTTGGTCGTTAGATCTCTTTTCAAATTTTGATTAAGTCCATCCATTATTATTTATATTAATTTAAAATTTAGTCCTTATAATTTTAAAAATTAAAATTTCACCTTTAAAAAATAAAATCTTTTAAATAGAAATAGAAAATTAATTCAAATAATATTTAAAATTAAAAAAATTACCTTCTAACATTTTTTATTAAAAAATATATATATAAAGATCTGACTTTCGATATGACTTTTTTAACACCAAATATGAATTTTTAGAACAATGAAACAAAATTAATGATTAAACAAGAATTTAAGCTTAAAATAAAATTTAAATTCGAAAGTCAAACAAATAAATATATATTATTAGACTAATATTTTAAAACTAAATTTTAATAAAGATAATATTTTGGTCTCTAAATAATAGAATAGAACTCATATTTAAACTATAAAATAATAATAATTTATTTAATTATTTTTATAAGGATACTTTATTTCAACTCTCATTAATAATAAATTAGTTAAAAATCACTTTTAGGTTCATATATATATATATATATATGTTAATTCATAAAAATTAAAAATAAGTTAAAAATAGTTTCAATAAAATTTAAAATTTATCTCTACCGACCCCATTAATAATTTAATAAAATATAAAATAATTTATAACCATAAAATTGAAGATAAATGGTAGGTGTCAAATATTTGAAAATTTGTATGTCATGATTAGCTAATGGCTGCTTTTAAAAATAGTAATTTATAAATGGTTGTAATTTAGAGTATTTATTATAAAACCCACATTTTTTTCATTTTAAATAAAATTATTTTTGGTGAATTTAATAAGAAAATAAAATATAAGTTGAGATTTGGTATTTTATATAAAATTAATAAGACAAGATGACAACTATTTACGCTATAAAATATAATTAATTGTACTTAATTTATCTTATTGCTATTTTATTTTTATAATAATTTTTTTAACAATTTATTGATTATGTAAAATAATACCCTTATTAACTCCGAATTGTTTTATTAAATTAAATAGTAATTAAAAGTTTAGAGTAAGAGATCCGACCAATCAACTGTTAGAACGACGTTTAATATCTTATTCACTAAGTATGTCTGAATAAGTCATTCAAATAAGTTGTGTTATATATATACTTTTGATGGCAGTAGACTTGCGATTGTGTTGCACTCACTTCCGTGAGTTAAGTCAATTCGTTCTTACGTCGCCTACGGCCAAGCGACGTATGCTCGAACCTCTGTCCCCGGCTCAAGAAGAAAGTTTTAGGAAACGGGACAGAGAGATTTTGAAAGTGAGTTTTGAAAGTAAGATTCGAGAGATTGAAATTGGTGTTATATGTGATGCAAGCAAAAAAGGCAATAACAACGACTTACGACAATATAACTATCGAGTAGGGAGAAGTTGACACACACACACATATATATATACGGTATTCATTCTAATTTATTAAAAATTTTAATTAAAAAAATAAAAATAATTAATTAAAAATTAAAATATAACTTTATTTTTTTTTTCTCTTTAATTGGATTTTTACAGATATATAATTAGTAGTATTGAATAAGTATGCGTAAGATTTTTAATATTTGTATGTCCGATTTTTTTCATGACATGTTTGAGCATACAATCGAAACAAGAGGCAGGCTATTCCTACGATCACTGGGAGCAGAATACCTCATTCGACCTTTAGGTTTACAACTCCGAATAACCCGGTTGGACATTGGTGGCTTTGCATCCATACCATTTGGGACCTCAAAAGCAACAAAGTCATTAGAAGTCGGAGACATGAAAATCGCCGAACCAGATCCTACCACGGTCATAGCTTCAGATGTTGATGGTGTAGATTCTCCATCGAACGTGGTTGTAGATGTGGACGGAGTAGGAATTACTGGGAACGAGACAGTAGAAGGTGAAGAATTCGATATCATGGCTAGATCACTCGATACTACGTTAAGCATGGCTCGTGACGTTGCCATGGATGTGAAAGGAAAAGAGAGAGCAAAAAGGAAGAACACGAACAAGAAAAGACCATGTCGTAGTGCCATTGATAAAGAACGAACGCTTATAGAATCAAATTTTTAGATTTAGTGATGACATTGTGACCCGACCGAACATTTAAATAGGGCCGAAGAGAGGGAGTAAAGGTCGATAACTTTTAAAATGCACCGCTGTCATGCATAAGGTGTTTCTATGCTCGTGCATTTCATAACTACAAGAAGTCAACTCCATTGACCAATTTCCTTCCGACATACCAACGTGGGCCATACCTTCTCCATTTTGTTTCTAATAATTAATACGTGGAATATTATGATTGGTCCACGTGGAGTAGTAGTAGCTTACCTGTTTAGACGGCATAAGAAAAGTGGGACACGGACTAAAATATTTGAAGGATATCAGCTTCCCAGCTTAATCTTGCGCCACGTGTAATAATGATGGACGATCTTGTCCACGCGGAAGATCTCAACCACCCATCCTCGTCATCAAACCTGTGACTAAAAAGATAAGATCCTAAACCCGTGCTATCTTCCACATTTCTCGGATGATCAATCCGCCAGCCTGGCAATATAATTTAGAGAAAAATATAATTTAATCCTAATAATTATAACATATGAATTTTTTTTATATATAAATATCAATTTTAATTAGTTCACTTAATTACTTAAAAAAAATAGATTATTTGTCTCA